GGATGGATGGATGGATGGATGGATGGATGGATGGATGGATGGATGGATGGAGAGATGGAGAGATGATAGATAGACGGGATACAACCTGAATCATTAACTAACAGATGCAGCCTGTTTAAATTTAGCACTGGTTTCAAAGCCTCTTTGGGATAAGCTTGGACACTAGTCTGGCTTAAAAAAGGATACAGATGTCCCCAGCCCAGCCCAGTTCCAGTGCTTCTTCTAACATCCAAGCAATTTACAGTTCATATCCTTCAGGCAGGCTTTTCATCCATGAGAATACTATTTTTGTTTCTTTTTTATGGCTCTATCTCCAGATAATGAGAGCGCGCGGGTTCCCAACGGAGTGGAATGTTACAGCTGTGTCGACAACAACTGCACAGTAGACAATTCTACCATTGTCAAGTGCTATGACAATTTCCGAGGTTGTTTCCACGGCAATGTCACTATGAAAGCAGGTGAGACCTCTGAAGGTCATCAAAAACCATTACTAATTTGGCTACCTTGGTATTCAAGTGACCACATGACCCTAAATACGTTGGGCTTCTTCCTGTCCTAGAAAAGGATGAAAGAGCTAGATCTGTGGAGCTAAGGGATCAACGTCCTCTTGGTGAAGGCCATCACAGCCAAACAGAAATAAAAACTATTTTCTAATTGTGCAGAAAATCATGTCCTCCAATATGTAATAAGAATGGATAGAAGCAGAGGCTAAAATGGGGCATTCATTCACGCTCAGGGAATTGCAAGCTTTTAAGAAGTACAATAATTAAAAAAAAACCCCTATCTATTTGTTTTTTTTAAAAAAAACAGCATATATATTTCACTGTTAGAGAATCATCCGTCACTTGAACTTTCTTGTTAAAAGCAAGTTACAAAATTGCTGCAGAGATTATGGGAAGTGATTTGATAACTGTTCACATTCTTGGTTTTTATCCAAGATAAATACAAGGAATCGTTTTTTGACCTTCACACTGAACACAATGAAAACTTGATAGGGAATGGGAAAAGTCCCTTTGAACTAAATCTGTTACTCTTCAAATATTATATCTGCCTTAAACTTGCTTCTAATCTCTTCCAGGCAATTTTTCACTGACCAGACCCATCAAGGGGTGTGTGGAAGATGAGGACTGTACCAAGGTCAGAAAAGGGAGTCCTGCCATCACCCTTACAGGCTCCTGTTGTTCAGGAAGTCTTTGCAATACTGATCTCTCCAACAAAACACATTTCTCCACCTCAATTCCACGGCTTGCCTTCCTGCCTGGTCAAGAGGCAAATAACACAACTGTCACTACCCCTTCGACATATGTTCGGATCAAAGCAGCAGCAGCTTCCACTTCCAGCAAGCTAACCCGTTCTATTGCTGTGACCCCATCAGTGTCCAGCCCTCAGAAGGATCATGACCATGACCATGACCATAACCATGACCATGACCACAACCACGACCATGACCACAACCATGACCACAGTCATGAGCATGATGAAACCGAAATCATCTCTGTTCGAGATGGGAAGGCGACCACTTCTGTGAAAGTTGAAGAAAGACATCACCAACCAGCTGATGGGGCAAAGGGAGGTGTAGCAAGCTTGGGTGGGTCAGTTCTAATGACTGTTTTGCTACTTGGCTTGTGTCTGTGAAGGTTAAGCAAAGAGTGAAATGACACTCAACTTCCTCCCCTTTTCATCACTAGATCAATCCTATCACGTACAGCTTTGCCAATGTAGTTTGGTATGATCTTTCCCACTCAGATTTGCCTACCTACAAGAGGCATCTTCTTAAGAAACCAGCATTTTGGACATTATGTCCTATTTATGACATTTGAGTATTGGAAATAGATTTTCCTTTGATGTGCTTCTTAACACCTTATTTTTATGGTAGCCATCTTGTACATGACTAGAAGCTAAAATTCACTGCTATGCTGCAAGACAAATCCCATGTTTATGTGCAGCAAAACCTGGTTTGGCTCATACAAAACAAAAAGTCAAATCCCTTTTTCATATGGGTCTTTTCCTACCCTCCTTTTTTAATATAGTTTTGTACCAACCTCATGGCAGCCCATCTGTATCCATTCTTCTAAAGGGTGTTCTCCTTGGATCATCCTTGGTGTAGCCTATTGAATAACTTTTCTTGCATTACTGAGGCACACTGAACACTCTTACTTTTCATTCATCTTTGATATCAGAGGTTTTTAGTGGGCTGTATTATTGAATATAGTTGGGGATTTTCAGGAATGGACACTTACAGAAAAATACAAGGCCAAAGAATCCACCAACCCCATTCTCTCTCTCTCTCTCTCTCTCTCTCTCTTTTCCAATAATAGTTTGTCTTCCCAAGAGTCAGACTTCCAGCGTTTTGGTAGTCTGCATAAGCTTCAGTTTGGCAGAGGTCAGAAGCAAGGTGCATGCATTTGAAGTTAAGCTATAACTTAATGATGTGAAACCAAGTCAAACAAATCAGCCTTTTGTGTGGGCCCTAATGACTTAACCCTATCAAAGTGTTCTAGAAATCATGAATTTCAAAATGTGTCTAAGATTCAGGAGACAGCGGATGAGATTCAGTTGGGAGCTAACCCAAGGAAGAGTTTGGAGTTAGGTAGATTGTTCCCACTTTGAAATTTGGATTTTAATTCTGAAATGCTGGAGTACAGGATGAAAATCTAAAATCAGCCCAGGTAGCTCTTTACCTTTTCAAGGAGATCTACCCTGACTTCAGGGAACGAATAAAGTAAATCAAGCTGTTACCCACATTTATTACAAGTCAAATGTTGTGAAATAGCACAACAGAATCTTCAGATGGCAATTTTGTGTACAAAGTAATTACCATAATTTGCTCATACAGGGAATATTCGTCTTCAACCTTGGCAGGGGAGATTGATTTCAGTTTTTGCCTTCTTACTGAATTGAACCTACAGCCAACAAGCAAACATCCCCTCCATAAACTGCAATCAAGGCAATAGTACACCAAATCAATGGACAAGACAAAGATTTATGTTTTGGCTGAGTTCATACAGCACCTTAGACTAGACTAAATGAGGGTTGTTTGTGATTCAGCATCTTGTGTAATTCCAGCCATTGTCTTAGCATGTTGTAATGAACCAGATCACCACATTAAGCCATAATACAATTCATTTGCTTGGGTATAGCAAGTTATATGAACACAGCAATTGTATTTAGTTCACCCGGGTGAAGGGGTGCGTTGTATGAACCCAGTTACTGAATCTCAGCAGAAGTCCTTTCTTAGCCATGTCTCCTTTCTGCTCCCAGCTTCCCTTGTTGTTCTGAAGCAGGCACAAATCAAACTTCCAAAAGTTTAAACACATCTGCTACTGTTATTATTTTCCATTCAGTTTATTTTGTTCCTGTTTGTAAATAGTTTGAAGTGTAGCTCTTGCCAAAGCAATAAATTTCAGGAAAAACTAGACTTGGAAAGATATTAACAAATAAAGAGATTGCAACTTGGCTGAAGTGCCTACTTAGGAGATTTTGGGGGTGGGGGTGGGGATGGTCTCACTTTTTATTGCTCATCACTGTTATTGTTGGCCATTCACATGGGACAAAAGGAGAGAGGTCTATGTTCCCTTGCACATTTTGCAGAACAAGAAAACAAGGAAGAAGGAAGACAAGCAACCTGGGATGGAAATATACAAGGTTTGAAAGAAGAGATCAGGGTTACTGTTCCATCAGTGTTCCAGAAGGGTCTCTAGACTTAATGGAAATCAAGGGGAATGGGGTGGTACCTTCTAAATCCATCAATCTTTGAGGAGCTAGTAGACAAACCCTTTGGCAGCCTAATGATGAAATTTCTGGCTTTGCATCACCAACTCTAGGACTGACCAAAAGTCCCCTTCAGCTACAAATGCATCTTATTCCTCCACAGTTAGATTGTGAGACATCCTCTGAAATATTGCTCAAAGAGAGTTAATGGTCCATAAGTCTCCAAGGGATCGTGGGCACATCAGATTTTATCAAGTACAGAATAGTTATTAGGTGGCAAAACAGCTTTCTTAAAGCTTGCTGGGGGCGGAGGGGAAACAAGCCGATGTTAGCGAATATAAATAGAAAACTGGTTCCAAATTTTGGATGTTTCCTAATGGCCAACTCGGCTATTAACTACTTTTTAAGGCCTTGCCTTGCTCCCTACTAGCAGCTGTCCAACTTAGTAAAATGGTTAAACTGAGAAAAAAGCAATTAGAGTTCTTTAGGAAGAAATGCATCTCAATCTTACATGAAACCCTGTTTTTTCTGAGGCTGACCCCGGTGCTACAATAGAGAAAAAGGAATTAGAGAAGAGGAAGGAAAGGAGAAGGGAGACAAGAGGAAGGAGATGCAGAACAACATTTTGCAAGAAAGAGACACTACGCAACCTTGCCAAGTGTGATCTTTGGCTATATATAGGGCTGCGTGGGGATGGTTACTGTTAGTCATTCTCAAACTCTGCATGACAATCATATGTACAATCAGTTGCTTCTGCTGTTTTTCTGTTTTCCTTTCCTTTTCTCTCTTCCTTGCTCAATGTAAAGAACCTTCCAAGGATGTTATTTCCATCAAGGGAATGGTTAAGATCTTCCCTTATTTCTCCTCTTGACCTTCATCCAATAGGCACAGCTGGATTGGCTGCCCAAAGTTAAAAAAAAAATAGTAAAGACATGTTGAGAATAAATTGCATGTAGTTAACAACCTGGGTGGTTTGATTCTCAGTGACAAGGGAGAACAGCTAGATTTTTTAATTTTATATCCCCCCAAAAGAGCATGTAGGAAATCATTGGCCACCAGTAATTCTCTTTTTTTTAAATAGTAATACAAACTAAAAAAGAGAGAAAAGAATAAAAAAGAAAAAATAGAAAGTGCAGAAAGGGAGAAAAAATAGAAAGAAGAATAGAAAAGAAAGAAAAAATAAGAATATAGTAAAGAAAAAGAAAAGAAATATATAAAGAAAATGCTTCCCTCTTCATCACAAGAAGTATAAATAATTTCAGTAACTTACCATCTTCTCTTAAAATACAACAAAGGATCTCTTTTTCTCATATCCCACCTCTTATCTATCAACAAATCCTTAAAGCCTCATTTTTCAGTCCTGATCAGCAAAAGTCCATTAAGGGTTACCAGAGATAATAACATATCTATTTTAACCTTGACCACATAAACCAACTTTATATTCCTTCCTTTTACTTTTAACAGTCTTGCTCTCTAGTCCCTTCAAATACTGTTCTAGAACTTTATTTCTTTTCATTTTTTCTTTGTCCATTCTCACAAAAACCTTCAAAATTTTAACAGGTCTCTTTTGTAAATTCAGTATAGGAAAGTTATCCAGGTCACTCTATTGGTTTGTTATTTGTAGATCCCTTTTAATTATTAAGACATCAGCCAGCTTTATTTGTATATCCAGTGTAATATCGTTTTCAGTATCATTTCTTGTAACTTTCCAGAATCAACATCCTAATCACCCTTTTGCTGTTTATTCAAAAAATCATTTTTAAGTCCTTAAACTTGTATTTAAAACTTCTTTTGCTAAGGACTGAACCTTATGTTCATATAGGCTACATTATGGCTGTGAGCTTGATTGAAATCCCTCAACTCCCAGCCACTTGACTCACAAGTTGACAACTGCAGTTCCTGCAGTCCACTCACAGGGAGCAGTTGTCCAGAGTACAAGTGGGCTATTTCACAATCTCTCCTTTTTCCAGAGAGACTTCGCCAGCCAGAATTCATTGTCTGGCCACCGATCTCGACCACAATGACATTCCTGCTCCAAGGACATCTAGTTCTCCATGAATCTTCACCAAAAGTCAGCCACCAGTAATTCTGAAGAACAAACTTTCTTATCTGATCCTATCCAGACACATAGACAAATTTATTGGCATTCTTCTTTCATTAATACAAAGATTCTAAACAGCATCTGGAGAGGTTCTTACACAGAGATCTCAACAGCTCTTTCTGAGATTTGTCCAGACCAGTGTTGTTCAACCTTAGCAACTTTAAGACGTGTGGACTTCAACTCCC